GGGGCTTTTGCTCTCTGATGTGAACAGTTCTAAGGCTCCTGTTTTCAAAGTACTTTGGCTAAACCCTCTCGCTGGAGGGCCTGTTTCCTCACCTGTAGAATGAAGGTGTGGAGTAGGCCTTGGCTACTCAAAGTGTGGTCCTCGGGGCATGCAAAATCAGAATCTACACTTAAATAAAATAGTGCTGAATGCCTCACAGGCAGAGTGAAGTCTGAGAAGTGCTGCTCCAACCATGCATGGGCCCATCTAGCTCCAACACTCTGGTTCTGAGATGTTATGAAGCATTTGTCTGTTCCAAAAATACTGTTTTTACGTGGGACAGTGGGGTGAGAGGACATGCAGGGCTTTATTTTAATCTGGTTAGCCTGCCTCAGTTGATGGGCCGTATGTCCAAGGCTGCCCACAGCCAATTAGTAACCAGCTTCTCTGATTGATGCTGAAGCAAGACCCTCTAACTGACCAGAAGAGACTGGGCAGAAGGTTCGGAGAGCAGTGCCTGCAAGGGCTCCTGAAAGAAGAGTCCAGAACACCCTTCTGAACCCATGTCACCAGAGTTGCCTCCTTGCCCACAATCCCTCTGCTCTAATGCTGACCCTGCTCATTAGTACAGAATGTTAGAGGTCCTTTCAGTTCCACTGTTGAGAATTTATTCTACTGATATGCTCATCTAGGTGTGCAAAGATAGGCGTGAGGATGTTTATCCTACCAGCTGTCACCTCTCACCTGGGGGCATAAATGGGAAATGGTTTCAGTTTTTCAACACGTGTCACTAGCAGTGCTCTGGCCAGCTCCTCTTTCTTCCTGGGAAGGGGAGTCTTGAATGACACCTAAATCTGTGTTCACACATCTCTCTTCTAGACCATTGCATTCTGGCTTTGCACTTCCCCTCGTCAACACTATTTGTAACACGGATGATCTGCCTTATTTCTCAGGAGGCCAGCTGACCAGCGCATCCTAAGCGTGGGCAGCGAGCCAGGCCTCTGAGAAGGGAGCTCTCTCCGCACAAAGCTCCAAAGCCAAGTAGTCCCAGTGTGGCGAGAATGGCAGATTCCAACTCCTGGGCCTCCTCTGCCCCTCCAAGATCAACACTGCCGATGTCCTGCCGTAAACTGTGGCGCCGGCTCTGTTTTGTGTTCCTGCAGATCACGAAGGCGTCAAGGAGAAGGCTCACGATGAGCCTGGCTTCCTCGGAGAGCCACCAGCTCCGTGTGTCCCAGCAGGACGTCCGGCTCTTCCGCACCCTGTTCCTGCTCGTGATCTCCTTCTTCGTCATGTGGAGCCCCATCATCGTCACCATCCTCCTCATTCTGATCCAGAGCTTCGAGCAAAACCTGGCCATCTGGCCGTCGCTCTTCTTCTGGGTGGTGGCCTTCACCTTTGCCAACTCGGCCGTCAACCCCATTCTCTACAGCATGTCACTGTTTAGGAACGAATGGAGGAAATCTTTTCACCGCTTCTTCTCGGAAAAGGGAGCCATGTTTACAGACACATCTGTCAGAAGAAATGATCTGTCTGTTATTTCCAGCTAGTTAAGTTTTCTCTGCAGGTGTCTATTTGTCCCTCTCTGGCAAGCCATGGTGTGTTTTCAAAGGGCGTTCATTTCCAGGATGGTCGCACCAGGGTACCTGCTTTAAGAAAATGTAACCTATGCAAATGGACATTTACAGCACCAGTAGATTGAGGGGTGATCATTCAGTATAACAATTCTATCCTTCATAATATAAAGTATTTGCTGTGTGTTCCTTTTCAGTATGAACTTTTTCAGTGTGTAATAGGATTAAGTTTAATAATTTTTATTTGTAACTCTTCAGCAATCTCATCTCCTACATGTAAAGCCACGCCTTGCCGGTTTCCTGAAGTGAATCTTGGAACGGGTCCAGGACCCAGATTTTTCCTCTGAAGAGTCATGGCCACTCTAGCTCCCCACCCTGGATTTGCAAGGCTGCAGGATCATTCATTAATGTCAAGAGCACTTGAGGAATTTCCAAGGAACAAGGATTTAGTGTCCAAGGAATTAAAGGTGACTTTATTTTTCATTTATAAAGGGATGCCATGGACCCCTTTAGGAGAAGCTTTGTCATGAAGTCAGAGAGGAGGTCGGACGACTGCAAACATTTGACAGTGAGAACAGGAGTGATTCCCTTCGTTGATCCACCTGTCAGATGCCTCTTAAGCACATGCTGTGGCCGGTGTTCTTGGTGGTGGGAATACAGCAGTGAACCAGACAGCCATGGCCCCTGCCCTCATGGAGCTTACTTATCTTCTAGAAGGGGGCAGCGAAAAACCAAACATAAGTCAATAGACAATATAGTGTTATAGAGTGAATTAGCATTGTGAAAAAATAGGACAGTGATGGCAATTTAGATGGGGTGTTGAGGGGTCTGCGAAGACCGTTCTGAGGGGTATATTTGAGCCAAAAGGTAAACCACAAGAAGGAACCAGCCATGTGAATCCAAGGGAGTGGGGCTTTGCAGATGGAGCAGACACTGGTGCTGGTGCAAAGAGGCTTGTGTACTTGTGGGACAGAAAGAAGATAGGTGTAAACAAAGCAAACTATTGGCTGAGCCTCCTGTATGCCAGGCAATGTCCTTGATGCCAAGACAGAGGGATGCTGTGCTGGAGACCATCAGTTGAGACCAGAGAGGTTACAGGGCTGGATTACACAGGGTCTGGGAGGCTACCATAGAGAGTTTATTCTGTGTTCAGTGGGCAGCCACTGGAGGTTTGCAAGTGGATGCTGTTGTGACCTGCTCTACTGGTTGCTGTGCCAGGAATGAACTTTGTGGAGCAGGAATAAAGATGGAGACCAGTTAGGTGGCTGTTGAAGCAGAGAAAGAAGATGGGGAAGTTGGAGGTGGGTGACATCAGTGGGGGATTGTGAGAAATGATCTTGGGACATACTTTGGGAAGGCAGAGCAAACATAATTTATTGATGGACAGGATGCAGATTAGGAGGGAAAGA